AAAAAACCAAAAAAAAAAAAAAAAAAAAAAAAAACGAAAACTAATAACAGTAAGAATGACAACTCACATTTATAGGGTAATTTGCTGCTTATAAGGAGGTTTCATATATATCCTTGCATTTAATTCTCATAGTAACTCCACAGTTGAGGTGGTTAGTATTATCTTCATTTTATAGGTTTGGAACGTAAGGTTAAGAAACACAAAATCAGGGCTGGAGAGGCAGCTCAGTGCTTAAGAGCACTGGCTGCTCTTCCAGAGGACCTGTGTTCTATTTCTGCACCCACACGGCAGCTTGCAACCTTCTGTAGTCCCAGTTCCTGGGAATCTGACACCTTCTAGCCTCCACAGATACCAGGCATGCATGTGATACACATACATGCAGACAACCACTCATATATGGAAAACAAACAAAAAGACCCTTAGAAGCCAATTGGGCATGGTGGCATATACCTGTAATATCATCATTTGAGAAGTAGAGGCAGGTGCACCAGCTGTGACATGTTCACTATGGGTTTGAGACCACCATGGGCTGTGTGAGACCCTGCCTCAAACAAACAAGCAAACAAATAATGAACCTTAGACACTTTTTGCATGGTAGTAGAACTTGTGAATGACAAAGTTTGAACTCCAGTGTTTTTTCCTGTTATTTATATCTTTGGATTTATTTGTCTGTCTGTCTGGACTTATTTATCTATCTGTCTGTCTGTCCATCCATCCATCCATCCATCCATCCATCCATCCATCCATCCATCCATTCATCCATTCATTCATCCACCTATCTACCTATCTACCTGTCTGTCTATTTGAGACAGGGTTTCACACTGCAGCCTAGGCCGACCTGGAACTCATTAAGTAGCCCAGGATGGCATTAAACTGTGTAATCCTTATACTTCATGTACTGTAGTGCTGGGGTATAGGTGTGAGCCACCACATCTGGCTGACCCCCTCCCTATTAACACCAAACCTGGTACTTTAGCCATCTATTTCCAGGACTTAATGTGTCACTCAGAGACTTTTCTAAAGGATTAGGATGTTGGGATTCCTGAACATGGAAGGTGGTGCTCTGTGTCTGAGTGAACATTCTAGAGCTCTCTGTTCTTTTTTCTGTTGGATTACTCCAAGGACCTACTGTTTTGTTCAGGAGCTTCTGTACCTCTTATAGAAATGTATGTTCTGAGGCTGGAGAGATGGCTCAGGAGTTAAGAGCACTGCTGCTCTTTCAGAGGACTATAACTCAGGTCCTAACGGCCACAGCAGGGGGCTCCAAAGCTACCTGTAACCTCAATTTTAGGGGGTGGTGTGGGGCTGATGCCCTCTTCTGGTCTCCAGAAACACCTGCACACATGTGGACACACACACACAATTTTTAAAAGAAATGTATTGCTAGGCATGGTATTATACACCTTTAATTCCAGCATCTGGGAAACAGAAGCTGGGAGACCTCTGTGAGTTCAAGGCCAGCCAGGTCTAAATAGTGAGTTCCAGGACAGCTAGCCAGGGCTACATATTGAGACCCTGTCTCTGAATAAATAAATAAACAAACAAACAAAATCAATTCCTTGTTTTAAGTAGAAATTACCTCCTTAACACTTAGTTAAGTCTCTCACCTCACTTTCAGTTAGAACATTTTTCCCAGCAGTACCAGGGCATCTTCCTAACTGCCAGTTGAGATGTCCCTATGCATTTCCTTTTGTCCCCTGCAGACCTGGGGTCTAGGTTTGTGCTCTGGGAACACTTAGTGTGGCCATGTCTCTCCCTATGAGCGGGTTCTTCTTTTGAGTCCTGTGACAGTCTCTTGGCTGGAATGAGAATTGAGGCGTCTGAGAAGAGAGAAGGCTTGAGAGGGGTCTATCCAAGTGAGTCTTTGCCCTGTCTGCTTTAAAAAATACTGACAAACTGAAAATACTACCTGGACCCAGTGGAACCATCCTCGGTGCCTAGAGTTCCCTATAGGAACTCTGTATATAGTGAAAATGAGAAGCCAGACATGGAGATTATTTATATAGTCTGCAACACAACGTCGCCTTCTTGGTCTACAGCCCATAGCTGGCCTAAAACTTTTGTCTTTGTTGGTGGCATACGTGGTTGGACTACAGACAGGTTAGTTCTCCCCGGGGATTCTTAGTGTCTGTTCTCTGCTCCTTCTTGCTCTACTGCTGTTTTTCATCTCTTTTTCCTGCCTCTCTCTTCAGCAGTCTATTAAGTTCCCTACCTATTTGCTCCACCTATCGGGCTTCCCCTTTTTTGGACTGTGTCTCCCTATGTAGCCCAGGCTGGCCTCAAACTCATGGTCTTCCAGCCTACTGTGTGCTACAATTAATAGACACATATCACCCCTGTCTTTCTTTTTGTTTTGTTTTTTGAGACAGGGTTTCTCTGTGTAGCTTTGGAGCCTGGTTGGCCTTGAACTCACGGAGATCCTCCTGCCTCTGCCTCCAGAGTGTTGGTATTAAAGGCGTGCGCCACCACCGCCCGGCTTTCCTGTCGTTCTTAAACTTGCTACTTCACCCATTGTCCTTTTCTTCTCACCATCTTCCCAGCCACAGCTACAGCCTCTGACCTGCCTGGAAACTTTGGCGCTTCATTAAGAAACAAGTCTTTCTTACCTAGACTTGTTTTATTTTAAAGATTTGTTTACCTTATTCTTTTATGTGTGTGAGTGTTTGCCTGCATGTATGTGTGCACCACATGTGTTCCTGGTGCCTCTGAAGGTCAGAGGAAAGCATTGGATCTCCTGGGACTACAGTTACAGACAGTTGGGAGCTGCCATGTGGGCCCTGGGAATCAAACCCGTGTCCTCTGCAAGCGCAACAAGTACTCTTAACCTCTGAGCCAGCTCTTCAACCTCCCTTACCTAGTTTTTGTTCCCAACAAAGCAGGCCATCTCCTCCCATCCCCAGCACATCACTGACTTCCTCTAAGTTCGCACCTCTTCTCCCCAGCTTTCTCCCTGTTCCTTCTCTGTTTCTTTAGCCCATTTGTCTTACTTTGCTTTAGTTATACATAAAGGTTGGAGGCCTCTCTTCAGTCCAGCAAAGGGACATGTGCTTTTGGCACTATAAATGTCAGACACATGATTATTTTTTCTCTGACTTTTATTCTTTTCCTCACAAATAGCATATGACACTTGCATTTTTTTATTGTGCTAGATGGTGAGTCCAAAACTGGAAATGACCAAATACTCTCTGAAGGCATGGGGTCACATGAGATGATACTGGGACGATTGCAAACGGATGTTTCTCAGGGTCTTAAGTTTGAAGAAGCCTATGAACAAGAAGTCAGTCTGAAGAGACAGCTAGGGAACTCCTCTGTTGGAAGACTGAATAGGAAAATACAGGAGTTTCACCAAATGACAGTTGAGGAAAAGCTCACCCACATGGGACAAAGAAATGAGAAGTATAATGAGTTTGGGAACAGTTTCACCATGAACTCCAAACTTATTTCACATCAGAGATTTCCCATGGGAGACAGACCCCATAAGTGTGATGAATGTAGCAAGAGTTTTAATCGAACTTCAGACCTTATTCAACATCAGAGAATTCACACTGGGGAAAAACCATACGAATGTAGTGAATGTGGAAAGGCCTTCAGCCAGAGCGCACATCTTATTCAGCACCAGAGAATCCACACTGGAGAGAAGCCCTATGAATGTAAGGATTGTGGGAAGACCTTCAGTTGTAGCTCTGCTCTCATCCTACACCAGAGAATCCACACTGGGGAGAAACCTTATGAATGTAACGAATGTGGAAAAACATTTAGCTGGAGCTCCACTCTTACTCACCATCAGAGAATCCACACTGGCGAGAAGCCCTATGCTTGCAACGAATGTGGGAAGGCTTTCAGTAGGAGCTCCACCCTTATTCATCATCAGAGAATCCACACTGGAGAGAAACCCTATGAATGTAATGAGTGTGGGAAAGCCTTCAGCCAGAGCTCACACCTCTATCAGCACCAGAGAATCCACACTGGAGAGAAGCCCTATGAATGTATGGAATGTGGAGGGAAGTTTACCTACAGTTCAGGCCTTATTCAGCATCAAAGAATCCACACAGGGGAAAATCCCTATGAATGTAGTGAATGTGGGAAAGCCTTCAGGTATAGCTCAGCTCTTGTTCGCCATCAGAGGATTCACACTGGAGAGAAGCCTTTGAATGTAATGGGTGTAAGCAGAAATTCCGGAGTTTCTGCTGAATTAAACATCAGAGAATCCACATGAGAGAGCCATATGCCATTTTCCTCACTCCCTGAGTCTAAAGAGCTCTTGCCTTACTTTATATATAGGGCCAATTTAGAATGTATCCCACCTCCAACCTTTCACTCAGAGAGTGGGGCGGATTAGGAAAAACATCCTGGCACAGTGATCAGCAGGATTTCCCAGGAATGGATACCAGTCTTGAAAAATTGTGAGGCAAGTAGCAAATTAAGCACTGGGAAAAGAAGGAAGCTTGGGGACCAGTCACCCCTTTCGGGGAAGGGGTTTGCACTAAACCAATTTTCTCACACCAGAAGAGCCTTTCTTTCCAAGGTGGGGATGGAAGCTTATTAGCAACAAAATTCCAAGGATTCCACTAGTTGGAGTCAGTCCGGTAAGCACAACAGGCAGAGGGAAGAATATTCTGGGTCATCATAAGTTCTGGGAAGGGAAACAAGCTGTATTTCTTTCTTTCTTTTTTGAGACAGGTCTTACTGTGTAGCCCTGGCTGTTCTTGAACTCACTGTGTAGACCAGTGAGCTACACAGAACTCTCTGGCCTTGAACTCAGAGAGACCTACATGCTTTTGCCTCCTAAGTGCTGGGATTAAAGGCATATTCAACCATGCCAGGCCCCCAGAGGCTGCATTTCAAAGCCATTCTTCTAATCCAGCTTTAAGATTGGACAAGGAATATGCTGCTTTGGCATATGAATCATGGATTCAGGAAACTTGGTGCTGATGGGTTCATTTTATTGGGGGAGGGGGGACCCCAGCTAGGGTTTCTGTAGTGACTATCCTCGGAGCTCTTGGAGCAGTGATAACATGTTTTCAAGAGCAGTCTGGCAATACTGTAGGCAGACCCCACATCCTCCCTTGTAACAGGACTGACTGGAAATCTCATCGGAGCAGTAAATAACCTGAGGTAGATCAGCATTTACTACTGGCCTGACTCCTGTTCTCTCTTCTTCCTGTTCCTGTGGTAAAAGGTAATTTGATATCAACCTCTAGTTATTAAGGATGCTGTCAGGGAACTCACCTACCCAGCTTGTCCTACCCTCACCTCTAACATCTGGCCCCAGCAGCTGGACCTCTCTGGAGTACATCTGACTTCAGCTACTTCGGAGTACATAAACAGTAAAGCCAGAGAGGCACTGAGACCCAAGCTTGGCAGCTGGGCTCCTTGCTGTGTATGGGTTGTGCTCCAACCAACAGATGACTTTCCTTATTTCTCCAACCCTGCTCATCCTGTAGCTTAAAGGAAATACACTGTTAAACAGAATAGTTTTTTCAGAAGGGGAGATGTAGTGTGCATTTGTATAGGAATCAAAGTTTTGTCAGTTAAAACAGCACAGTCACTATAAATGGAATCCAAAAGTATACTCTGAAATTTGTCTTTGATAACCATTTTTGGGTCACAAATGTGAGGTTTTCCTGTCCCACATAGCCCTCTCAAACTCTTGCAGACATTATTGCAGACCATATAAACATGTGCAGCTATTCCCACCTTCATACCAAATTAGAATTTTGTGATCTGTAGATCATTTTGTGTGGTAGACTGATGACGAAAACTAAAGGTGTGTTTGGCTCTTTTGTAGCAATGGGCATATCTCTCTGTTTTGGTTTGGTGTTGGTAGGGTATTATGGCCATGGAGAATGGTAGGCTGGGAATGGGATGAAGAGGTTAACATTAAGATGGCTATGAACACCCAGCACTTACGAGGCAGAGGCAGGAGGATCTCTGTGAGTTCAAGGACAACCTGATCTACAGAGCTAGTTCTAGGACAGCCAAGGCTACACAAACCCTGTCTTGAAAAACCAAAAAACAAACAAAAATGGCCACGAACTCATATTTTTTTTGGGGGGGGGTAGAGTATGGTAATGGATCATCTATTATGTGTCTTTAATTTCACAAATCTTTGGAACTGATCATTTTTGGCTCCTTTAACACTTATTGCCAGGCCTGATGGTTCAAGCCTCTAATCTCAGCTACTTGACCGGTTGATAGAGGAGGATCACAAGTTCCAGGCCTGCCTGCACTATGAAGTGAGTTTAAGGCCAGCTTGGACAAGTTAGTAAGGAGTCTATTCCATTGTTTGTCTTTCTAATTACTGGAAATTAAGCTGAGCCTCATCAGTTATACAACTGGCTTCTAGTTCTGCCTTTTCAAGCAGGACATAATTTTTTTATCAAATAAAACTTTGAAGAACATTTTTTCTTTCTTTTTTTGATACAGGGTTTGTCTGTGTAACCCTCTCTGTCTGGGAACTCGCTTTGTAGACCAGGCTGGCCTCGAACTCACAGAGATCTGTCTGCTTCTGCCTGCTGAGTGATTGGGTTAAAAGTGTGCTTGAAGAACATTTTCATTCTGCAAAAGAAGTTGTTTTATTCACCTCTGCTGGGGATCATATCCAGCATTCCTTTTGTGCTGGGTAAGAACTAAGTACCTCAGCCTAGATTTTTTTTGTATGTTGTCAGCCTAAATTCATTTTTGGTATGTTTATGCATGCATACATGTGCCATGGAATGCACATGGAGGTCAGAAGCCAACTTGCAGGAGTTGGTTCTCTTGCAGTGTGGGTCCCAGGGATGAAATCAAGGTCACCGGGCCTGACAAGGGCAAGTGCCATTACCTGTGGAGCCATCTCTCTGACCGAGGAATTTTTACTTTATTTACTTTTGTGGTTTATTTTTGACCCAGGACTGACCTGAACTGATCCTCCTGTGTCTACCTCCCAAATGCTGGAATTACAAGCATATGCTGCCTTTCATCTCCAGTGACATCTTTGAGATCCAATTCAAATGATTCTGGGAAAGTATGTTATGTAATAAAGTTTCTAACTGAGCACAGAGTCCAGTTTCATGTACACTTTTCAGGTAACAGGATGAACAATGCAGTGATGATAAACATCTTATTGGATTGTTTCTTTTTTTTTTTAGTGAATAATACAAAACAAAAACAAGAGAAAAGGTTGTTTTGCTTTGGTTTGTGTTTTAGGTGGAATCTTGCCATGTAGCCCAGGCTAGCCTTGAACTCAATCCTGCTGCAACCTTTTTAAATTCTGGAATTATAGATTAATCCGTCATACCCAGTTAAAAGATAGTTTTTAAAAAGCCCTCCATAGTCCTTTTTTAAATAAATATATATAAGTTGCTTAGACAGTTGGGTTTTTTTATTTTTATTTTTTTCACTTAAAAAAAAAAAAAAAAGTCCAAGGGCCAGAGCTGTAGCTCAGTTGGTAGAGAACTCACTTCACTTGATAAAGTCCTGGGTTTGAGCTCTAGCAATGCATAAATTGGGCATGGCTAGAACATTTAGAAAGGTCAGGAGTTAAAGGCTATTCTTAGTTATAAATGGTTGCGGCTAGCCAGAGCTACATGAAACCCTACTCCCCGTCCCTAAAAAAAAAAAAAAAAAATGCACCCAGCTAGATGCATTACTTAAAATGTCAGTAATGAATCAAAAATTGTATAGACTTATTTTCACACAAAGATGATTGTGCTTACCAGAATAGTTTGTCCTAGAATAGCAATTCTTCTGCTTTTTTGTTTTGAGACAGGGTTTTTCAGTGTAGCCCTGGCTGTCCTGGGCTCTGTAGACCAGGCTGGCCTCGAACTCACAGGGATCTTGCCTGCCTCTGCCTCCCAAGTGCTGAGATTAAAGGTGTGCACCATCACCACCCAGCTCTTTTACTTTTTCTTAAGACTTTATTTTTATTTATGTCTGAATATAGGCCTAAGGAAGCTGTACAAGGGCCCATGGAGCTGGAGTTACATACAGGCAGTTGTGAACTGTCAGACATAGGTTCACAACTGCCAGACTTGGGTCCTGTAAAAGAACAGTGTCATATTACTTACTGTTCTATTGCTGTGAAGAGACACCATGACCAAGGCAACTGTTATAAAAGAAAGCCTTTAACTGGGGGCTTGCTTACAGTTTTAGAGGTTAGTCCATGATCATCATGACTGGAAGCAGATGGGCACAGAACTGAGCAGAAGGTAAATAAGAACTTTACATCCTGATCCACAGGCAGCAAGCAGACAGACAGACAGACACTGGTCCTGGCATGAACTTTTGAAATCTCAAAGCCCACCCTCAGTGACACACCTACTCCAACAAGGCTGCACCTCCTGATCCTTCCCAAACAATTCGGTGGGGACTAAACATGCAAACAGATGAGCCCGTGGATGTTATTCTCATTCAAATCACCACAGGCAGTATCCACTCCTAACTGAGGAGCTGTCTCTCCAACCCAAGAATGATCGTTCTTAGGACCAACTGCCTGTTGAGGTGGGGTACAAACATGGGGATTATCCCAAATACATTGTTTGATTCCTTTTCATCCCTACAGCTTCTCAGTCAACATCGGATCCATCATTCTTCCATAGTCTCACCTTGGCCCTTGTTAGCTCATTCCAGGACTTTGGTACCAGCCTCACAGTGGGTCTCTGCATTCTTTCTCCTACACTTTTTTTTCTTCCTACCCACACATATTAGTTACTGTACCGTTGCTCTGGCCAAATAATTGACATAGGTAAAATGGAGAAAACGTTAATCTTGGCTCACACAAATTCTGGGGCCTTTTCCCCCTCTTCCAGGTTATTCATTTATTGTATAAGTTGAGTATTATATAATAAACTGACATTACCTCTCCAGCTATGATAACTTAACAGATGAGGACAGACATTTTAGAATCTTTTTGTGTTGCTTTCACAGCTGTAGATTTTTAGATTTAAACTTGAAGTATAAGACTGGCACAGCTATTCCTCTGTCTGTGGCCAGTACACAATTCATTCTACCCATGATACTCTAAGAATTGAAATATGGGTTGAGAGATGGCTCAGTGATGAAGAGCACTTGCTGCGCTTCCACAGGACTTGAGTCTGGTTCCCAGCACTCACATGGGGCAGCTTACAATCACTTGTAACTCTAGTTCTAGGGGATGCCCTCTTCTGGCCTCTGCTGGTACCTGTACACACATGGGGTGCACATACACTAGTAAATTTTAAAAGGTTGAAATACCTTTTAAGAACAGTGAACTATCCAGGACAGGCACCAAAACTACATGGAAAAACCTTGTCTTGAAAAAAACCAAACTGTGAACTGGATCACTTCTGGCCCTGCCATGACTTCAATGACTTAAGGTTTCCAGGGTAGGTGGCAGAGAACATTTACTGAAAGTTGATGCTAGTCCCTGGAGGTCCTTGTGATGCTGGAATCTACATCTGAACAGATAAGATCTGAGTAAACAGCACAACAAAAAATTGCTTTGCCTATTTCACAAATCCACAGCTGATGTCCTTCAATAAACCCAGTTACCTGCTTGGCCTCGCCAGAAGCCAATCCTTGACTCATGAGGCTGAACATAATGGCAGTGGGAATGTGTGGGGAAGGTTGTTCACTTCATGGCAACCAGGAAGAAGAGAAAGGGCCTGGGACTAGGTATTCTCTAGGGGTGGGCCTTGTCATTCATTTTCTCCAGCTAGGCTTCATCTCCTGAACTTTCCACATCTCCAAATGGCCCCACCAACTAGAGACTGACCACAACACATGAGCTAATGGGGAGATGTCCCCTCCTATTGTAACATTGTATGTGAATTGTCATACTGACAGCATGTCAAGAGTATTTCTGTGTCTCCTTCCCTGGATGAAAAGCCAAAGTTAATTTTTTTTATTTATTAATTTCTTATGTGTGTGTGTCATGAGAGGTCACCTGTAGAGACCAGAGGACAACTTTCAGAAGCTGATTCTCGCCTTCCACTCCCTGGGTCCAAGGGACCAAACTGAGGTTGCTGTTTTGAGGCAAGTGCCTTTCCCTGCTGAGCCATCTCACTGCCCAGAAATCTCAATTCTTTTATCATGCCACAGGGTTGGCTGGTTGGTTTGTTTTCTTCTTCACTTCTCAGCCCTGCCTCCTTCCCTGTTCTTGCCTCTTGGCCCTCTTTTCACTCGCTCACAGCCTTCCTCCCCTCCCACAGACCTTGCCTTGATGATACAAGACCTTGCCTTGATGATACAAAAGCACCATAGTAGCCGGGCGGTGGTGGTGCACGCCTTTAATCCCAGCACTCGGGAGGCAGAGCCAGGCGGATCTCTGTGAGTTCGAGGCCAGCCTGGACTACCAAGTGAGTTCCAGGAAAAGGCACAAAGCTACACAGAGAAACCCTGTCTCGGGGGAAAAAAAAAAAAAAAAAAAAAAAAAGCACCATAGTTACAAGAACACCATGTAACGCCTCGGTGGCACCTGCTCTTCCTGAGTGTTCTCCCATTCTACCTAGTGAAGGAATTCCTGGGAGACCCTTACTGTATGTTTCATTATTTATTTTGTCGATGAGGATTGAGCCCAGCCTCATGCATGGTAGGCAAGGAGGCTACCACCAAGTTGTATCTCCAGTCCTTTATTACTATTGAGGCAAGGTCTTTGCCACAGATGGAGGATGTGCCTTTGAAATGATCCCTCCTGCCTCTGCCTGGGCAAGCATCACGAGGCCCTGTGATTGTTAGGCAAGCATTCTTAACACCTTGTTGAAGAACCAGCTCCAGCTGATCAGAGAAACTGGAGAGGAGACGTGGAGCCTGCAAATGCTAAACATACACATTGGAGGCTTATCTGAGGGGCAAGACTTCATTCTTCATTTTATTTCCCTCTGTTTCTTCTTCTGTTCTTTTTCTCTTATCCCTTTTATACCACCTAAGACAAAAATTTCTATGCAAGAAAAGATTACCTCACAACCACAACTTACATAATTTCCAGAAAGTAAAATCTTTACACAAGAAATCATCACATGATCACAAATTTCATGTTTTTTCTTAGAAAAGCACAAGTAGTTAAATATTTTTCTTTGTATTAATTTTCCCACCATAACATCTTCACCCCAAAGCAATGATTCTTTTATAATTGACTAAGAAAGTTTTAAGCAAGCTAAGTATATTTCAGCCAGTTCCTTTTGTACTGGCAGATAGGTGTTTGTGGTTTCAGTGTAGGAGATTTCTATCCTATTTTACTCTATAAAACTTGACTCAAGTGGTCTAGCAAACCATCTATTTTTCTTTTTTTCATTACCTACAATAGGGTCATTTAATTTCCTTTCACAACTTTGTTTTTTCAAGGTTTTCTGCTGGACCCTGTGATTAATTCTGTAAGCTATATGACCAAGGAACTCAGGCCTAACCTTGGGTGTAGGGACATGATTGTTTTCTTTGATCATCAGCCTGTTTTCCACAGGCAGAATTCATGGGTCTATAATGCATGAAACTTCCTTGTTCTTATTTTTAATCCTCTGCAAATCTCACATCTAACAAAGGGGAAGGTAACTTCTAGCCTAGTTTTGCCTTTTTAGTATCTCTTAATTGGAGCAATTGGCAGAATAACCTAAACCATTTCCCTAATTATCTTTACTGTCTTAACCACCTGTATCTTTTAGGCTGACTCAAAAAGTCCAATTAAATCATTGATCCAACTAATCATCATTGCTCTTATAAAAATCATCTTCATTATGATCTAAAAGTAAATTGCCCAGTGAGGAGTGGGATTCTCCCATGAAGCAATACACTATACTAGATGCAGTGGGATCATTTCACATAATAATCATACCATGCCAAATACAGCAGGAACACGACAGCAAGTAGGAGAAAGCACAGCAGAAGCAAGAGGCATTCTGGAAACAACCCCCCTGGCCCCAGGGCTTTGCCTTTCGAGGGTGCGCCCATCATACCTTTGCTATCTGGTAGGTTGCATTCCGTAAACTCCACTGCTGACTGTGGGTCCTCCAACACAGCCACCGACTCCACTTGAGCCCCACCATCCCTACTTGACATTTCAGTGGAACCTTTTCTAGTTCATTGCTTCCA